ACGGATTTAACAATAATTAAAAATGTTACTGAATTTTTGTTTTATTACCTGATTTACATTTTGATTTCAGATTTTTTATAAATATAATGTTGTAACTATAAAAATAATTCTATCTGTAAGCTATAAGTCATTTTTAATCAATATTATTATCAAACATTGTGAATTCGTAAACATATATATGATTTTGACTAAATTAAAATTTGAATTTCTATTGCCATTTAGACGCTTTTTGTCAATTTTATCTTTAAATTATAGAGATGATGTCAAAATTTATAGTATATTCGTATGTATATTAACTTATACATCTTAATTTTATCGATATCTTTCATGTTCTACTCAGAGATGAGGTTATTTTCATCAAATGAAACAAAAAAAAAAGACTTTCACCATATTTCAAGCTGAAATTTCTTAATTATTACCGTTATTCATTGCTTCATTCTCTATTAAGGTAATAAAATTTTAAGGTTTGAAATGGAACTTCTTTGGTGAACTATTTCAATGAAAATTTGTTTAGATAATCCGAAAATGTTTTACAAATTTTCGAAGCAGAAAATATTGATTTACTTAGGGTGAATTTCGTACAAATTTAAAAACTTTCCACAGAACTATTTAAATTTTTCTTCTTCTCTTTTTTTTTCTCCACTTTATCTGTCCTTCTCGTATAGTTTATGCATTTCCTTGGTTATTGTTTAATGATTTATTTCACTAATTGTTAGGAATTATTGTTGCATTCAGCTTAGCATGTTTTATCAGAAAACAAATCAAATGGAAAAAAGCAAAAGGATAAGCTCTAAAATTACGATATATCCTGGATTGTGGTACCTACGTTTAACCTGATATTAAGATTTAAGCCTAAAATCCTATCATTCTACCATTGTTTCCTTCCTGATTAATATATTTTTGTTTTGAATTTTGTTGAAGCGATAGATAAAAATATTTGATAATTGTACAATAGCATAGCATAAGTATGACATATGTCATAATAGTAGTGCCTCAATTTATATACAATTAACATCCCACTTAAATTATGATTGTTTTATAAAAAATAGTTCTGATTCTTTTCTTTTTCAAATTTTTTTTCTTCTTCATTAAGAATTTTTCAGTTTCATCAAATTACTGTCTTCTCTTTCTTCAGTGAAACATTCGACAATACATTCTTGCTCACCAAATACAGCATCAGCTAAAAACCATCCAATCAGTGGTGATAACCAGTATACTACAAGATGACCAAGGTGAGTGACACCTGTGCAATTAAATGTACATGCCCAAGCAACAATTGGATTAGCATACATGCCCGTATAATTTATACCTAAAAATGAAATGATATTTATATTCTTCTCTTTTATTCAATTTCGAAAGGGATTTCGTTCTTTAAAAGTTATACGAGTCACTTTTTTTTTTGTTAAAAATTTAATTAGAATGCTAAGAGTTTATAGTAATAATCTACGAGTTAAGCAATACGTTAACTGATAACTAGCATCCAGAACATTCTTCTAGCAAGAATTGCTGTCTTTCCATAGCTCTCTCCGAATTTTGCTTTTGTTTTCTTCCAGTACAGAATGATCCGGACAAGTGTAATCAATTTTACCGATATACATACCAACTGTTGTCAAGAAACCGGCAAACATGCAATTGATGAGCATTTGCGTTCTCGAGTCAGCGTACCATTCGTTTGCAACGAATTCGACTGCTTTGCTGCTAAAAGTGGCTAAACCTTCGATGAGTGAACCAGCTGTCAAGGCTACCTGAATTATTCTGTCATGAAAAATCCACTAATCCGTTTTCCTTTTCTATTTCGATAAGTGAAAGTTTTGGTAGTAACATTGCTGCTAATTTTAAATATATAGCAACCTTTCAATTCCTTTGCATCGTTTAATTGCATTCTTTTTTACCAGTTATTAAATAATGATATGATTAACTAAATTATAATTATAGTCTTCAATTTAGCATCATTTTAACAAGCAAATTACCGTTAATCTAAATTATTAAAAATTATTAAATTATTAAATTGAAATTACTACTACATAAGTTATCACTAAATTTTCAGTTTACTGGACAATTATTTGCTTGATAACTTGCTGTAAGATCAGCTTCACAATGATCTGCAATCAATAATTCATTATGCATAGGATGAAGGCCAAGTTTCCAGAATGTCCGAGCAAAGAAATATGATAGATATGCTGCAACAAGTTGTACAGCAAAAACCAAAAATGCCGTACGTAATGCCAAACGTTTACGTGAGGCTGTTGTTATCTACAACAAAAAACCTACTACTTTATATTCCATACAATTTAAAAAATCTTCATAAATCATTCAAAATAGGCTTAGTTAGTAATGTTAATATATGTATGCAAAGGAGCAATTTAAATTTTATGCATTAATCTTCGAATTAAGTGTTAGAATTGGCAGTAATGGTTAAAAGGCAAAGAAATGATAATAATTAAAAAAAAATAATTTAACTAGTTGAAAGCAAACAATAATTGGTGATTTAATTAAAAGATAGGAGAACTGATAATGAATGTTAAAAGATTTTTTGGACGAAATACCAATGGGCATGGATGAGCGATAGCATCTCGGAGAAAAAAACCGTTAGCAATTTCGATTGCCGTTATTTCGATAAAAATCCCAAATAAACCATAAGTTTGCAAGATTAAATTAACATCAAACATGGGCGTACAAACTTGTAAAGTACCAACGAACTGAAATGCAATTAATAGCTTCTATATAAATTAAAATTTCAAAGCTTCAAATTTAAGAGTCAAAATTTAAAAGTGAAAAATTTTTTGAATAGATTTGTGATAAATTCAAAGTTATACTTTATAAATTACTTTGAAAAAGTAAATAAAAATGAATAAATGACCACAAACAATCAATACTTCAAGAAGTAAACCGATAGCAAAACGTGGCAAATTTCGTTTGAGCCAACGATTGATCATATGACGTAGTAATTCGCAAATAACAAATACTGATAAATAAAAGAGTAATGATGCAATCCATACTCTCGTTAGCGACATCCACAAATTCTTTTGATAAATTGATATGTTTCCTTTTTGTTTTTATAATGTTATTAATAGAGATTTACACTAAAACAGTTTTCTGAAATAATTCTAATTTCATCGTTTCTCTATTTTTCCTTTTTTAAAATAAATAAAAATTTGAATCATTTTTTATCAGAAACTGAATAATGTCTAATAGGAAAAAAAAACATTGAATAAATTAATAAGTTGTAATCTTTCAAATTTCACAGAAAAATAAATGAAATAAAAAAATGAAATAATTGCAGGATTATATAAAGACTTCAAATTTCATATCATAACAAATTTATAAGTATATCAAATTTAAAAAAGCAAACAGTGTTTACTAATTCATCCATTCACTGCTAAAAAATAAAAACGTGAAGACCACCACCTTCAATACACTTCACTGATTGTAAATCTTCAAAAGTATAAAAATACGAAGAATTAAAACAGATAGCAAAAAAAGCGAAAAATGTCATATTCGAAACATTAACTAATGTAAAGAGAATGAGAAAAATAGAAAGAGAGTAAAGAAAGTTAGAAGGATTCATTTCATATGTTTCACTTCAAAAGATTAAACATTTATTTTTCACTTCTAACTCATTTTTTGTTCTGAACTTTTTACATAACATTTTTTTTTTTTTTTTTTTTTGCTAGATGATCAGAAAAAACGGCGGTTATTTGGGTATTTTCTACTTTCGCATTTATCAGATTGAATTAATGAATATTAATATATAATAAATGAAATAGAGTGAATGAACAAGTAATAAATATTTAAAATTAGTAGATTATTATCGCTTTATTTTGTTTATTTTTTAAATTTAATTTCTACTTGTATTTTATGTTTATTAAAATGTAATTGGGCATATTTTAGAGAAAGATAGGATTTAACAAAGAAAAAATTTATTTGAAAAACCAATTAATAATTAACAATTACTCATTAGTTTTCTATTTCTATTTTTGTTGTTTGCATTCTTTTGTTATATATTTTGTTTTGCGTTTGTTTTTTAATAATGTTAGCTTTTGTATCAATAATGTTTGCGATAATATTTTACATCAATTTAACAATATTATTGCAATTAACAATAAATCCTTGGTAAGCATTAACATAAAATTGAAATGACAGTGCAAGGTTGATAAAGTTAGCTAACTGATAAATATTTCAAGTAACATAAATAAGAAAAATGGAAAAAAACGAAAAATATGAAACAATATTAATAAGTAAATAAATAAATAAATTAATTAATTAGTAATAATAATAATAACTATACATAGTGTATTATAACTGCAATATTTATTATAGAAAAGTTAGTTTCAAAAAAAAAAAAAAACAAAAGAAGTGTTTGAGAGCTAATAAAATCAATCAATGGAAGCAAAAAAAGAATGCCTTGGAAACAGTTGATGAATGACAAAGTAAAGTAATTTGATGAGTGAGAAAGAAAATGAGAAATTCTTGGAACTAAAAAAATCCTTGAAATTATGAAAAACATCTAAGAATACATAAATGTGTTGGAAAAAAAAATATGAATGGTTTGAAGAACTTAAAATTCGTCATCAGGAAGTAAAGCATAAAGCAGTTTTCATTATTTCTTCTTAATAATAACAATGATGATGGGAAAGATAAGACAGAAAAATTAAGGAAGCAAAAAAAAAAAAAAAAAGGAAAAATAAGATAATGATGAAAAAGAATGTTTTTAAGAGGAAAGATATAGATTTTATAAATTTCAAGAGAAAAACTTTACTATTTCTGTGATGTAGGATTTTTTAAAATCAATAAACAGATAATTGAATGTATTCATTTGCAAAATGATCTTTTTCTGTTGGTTTTTGTTTATTTCTTCTGATTAATTTGAATAATTATCATGTATACTTTAATTTAGAAAAGTTGCATAATTTAAAATCTCTAATTTAAATTTAAATTCCTGATCAAATTGTATATTTTCATTGTAAGAGTGGCTACAACAAATAAATTTAGTAGTGTAAATGGATTACACAAATCAAAGGATTCATCTTTGGGATTATTTTAGCGCACCAATTGCACTCGTATGGTTTCTCACAACATCATGGCTTTTTGCAGTTATAATTTCGCAGTATGTACTAGTGCCATTAGATCAACCAGTTATACAGGTAAGCTTGGAATGATTAAATTATAATGAATATTGAAGTGAGATGAAAAGTAAAAGTTGAATTTATAGAGAAATTTTTGATCTTTCTTTGTACAATATTGAGGAAATTTATTGATTGGGACGAGTAATTTGAAATTAGTTGAAGTAAGTTTAATTGTTACAACTAACCAAATGATGCGTATCAACCTATTCAATATTTTCTAAAATAAAACACTGTTAAGATTCCTACCTCCTTTCAAAATTTTTTTGAAAAATGAATTGCTGGATACAACAGATTTCCACTCCTGAATATCACTAATTTGTAATATAATTCACTCAATGTAGGAACACATGCTCTATTATAATTCGTCAACTATCTTACTTGGTTTGAAAAAGTTAATAATTAACAATGAATTCATTGTGGATTTTTTTGAACTACTAATTATTCGAACACTTTACAATACTGAAATTTTAACTGTAACCACCATAGAATTAGCATAACCAACCGGAGCTTTCAATTCTGTGTAAATAATTATTAAAATTTCTTTCTGACAAATGATGCAGTTTTGTCTTCACAAGCAATTTTTCAGCCACCATTTGGAGGACCATGTCGAGAAACGGTAACATCAAAAAAAAGAGAGTAATAATGGCGCAACATGTTTGTTTTCAAGTTACATCATTTCGAACAATTTAAGGTAGTCAAGAGGTATTCAAAGAAAAGATGCAGTGAAAATTAAAATTAAGCATTAAAGAATAAGTTTTCGTAGTAATTAAAAGGGTTTAATTTACTAATAGGTGGCACATTATTGATCCAATTATATAAATTAAATCAGCCATCATTTAACTCATATCGCTTTTTTGTGCTTACATATTTTGCTAATCACTGACGAATTCGTTATAATGCAAAAACAATTAGCATTAGCGTGGTTAACATAAGTCGAATAATATAGAAAAAAAAAAACGTTATACCACATACACTTCATAAATTTAATAATTTTAGAAAAGATAAAAAACATATCCAATAAAGGATTAACAACGAATACACATAAATCACAAATTATGAAGGAAGCTTGTCTTATTGCTGTAACTTAGATTAAAAAACCAAACAGCCACGTCACTGCACCGCTACTATAAAAAATTCATATTAAGAAACATGAAAGAAGTGAAGATATTCTGGTTCATCAGTCACTGCTATTTTTTGTATTAACAATTAAATAAAATAACATATGCAGGCACCGCTATTTTTTCTCCTCTTCTTCAGAAGCTTTTCTGAGCTTTTCACTAACTTCACGATGTGAACCGTCACAAAATGGGCGTGTTTTCGTTTGTTTACAGTTACAGAACCACACCTGAAAATCTTACAGGATCTTTCCAGTAACTTTCATTACTGTTAAATCTTTGGAACTATTGCTATAGTAAATTCCCATCGGAAAAATAGACATTTATGAAATACTGAAATTAACCTCCATATCTTTATCAGGAATGAATCGTACAGGTCGTAGTTTTGTTGGAATGTAGTAACGAAGATGACTTCCATCACACAGCGGCTAAAATAAATGAAAAAAGAAAGATAACATCAAAAAAAAGAACCAATGATATTGAGAAATTCAACTTTTTAAAAGTATACCACTATAACTGGATTTATCCTTTAAATGTTTGCAGTACATAAAAACTCAAATCAAATTCTGTGTCTTTCGATACTTACTCTTCATAAGTTTACGTCAATTACATATATATCTCTTCCAGCAAACTTTAAACTTTAGTTATCCTTTATCATATTTAATCAAAACGATGACTTAAATTAAAAGAACATTAAATATCAAGATGATTATCTAATACTACCTGAGTTCCACTGTAGCCGCACGAGCACCAAGCATAAATCTTATCTTTCTTAAGAACTGTTCGAGTTGGCAATATTGAACTGACTTTTCCGGTACCCGGCAGTAGATGATGTGTTCCTTGCAATCCATATTTATGAGATGGTTTCTTATCTTGCAACTAAAAAAATAACTCAGTTTTAGAGCCAAATTAAAAATTTGAAAAAGTGCGATTTTATAATTGAAAAATACCAAACAAAAAATGTATGAATATAATAAAAAAGGATAAAATATAGTAAGGTGTGAATTTTTTTCAATTATAAAATTGAAGAAGGTCGAAAACAAGTGCAGAAAAAAACATTTAGCCTATGTGACTCCGTGTATCCCTTTGTATCAACCCCATCTTTTTTTTTGAAAAAAAATAAAAAAAAGTAAAAGGAATTTTCTTTTGCTGTATGAGCTATATAGAATACTTAATAGGTCTGGGAATAGTATTCCTTTTTTAAAAAAATTATTCCTTTTACTAGCATATATTTCTACCAATCTTTGTAAAGTCCCCTAGAAAATGCAATGCATGAACAATACAATGATAAAAGAGATAATCGCTCTATCACTGACATTTTTCAAAATCTTTTATTTTGTATTGAAAGAGAAGAAACTCAGTGAAATCAACCCAGTCAAGTGATAGATGATCAACTCACTGTCCATTGGAAATTTCGTAAATTTTATGAAAAATAAGATCGATCAAAATTAGCACAAAACAAGCATCCGTCCCTTATAGCATAATAACATTAACGACATAAAGAATCACATAAATAAGTACACTTCGACTAAAGATGTTGAAAAAAAAATCAAATGACAAATAAATTAAATCCAAAAAATTAAAGCATTCCATACCGAATCATATTAACATCACGTGAAATGCCGTAAGAACTATTCTCTTACATTGTCTTGTAAAAAAAAAACTCAAAGCATAGGTATTTGGTCTTGAACTTGTCACACATAAGTAAAAGTTTGATATTTTTTACTAATTATTTGAAAGTTTGCTTACAACTGCTATCTTCTTACGGGATACAATAACCTTGAACTGTTCCAGTTTACTTGATGCCGCATTAAATCATTCATATGTCATTACACCTAAATAAAAGTTTGTTTCTTATTCTATTCTAAAATACAGATACATTTGTAGCATACAAAAATCTAAATAGAATAAACCAGGAAGTAGAAAGTTAATATGATGCTTCAGTCTGTTTATTTAGAAGTAGAAAAATATTCAAAAATAAACACTACTAGCTTACTATTTTCCATATTTCCTAACAGGTTCATCCGTTCTCACGAATACGCCTATTTCACTTTAATATTGAAAAAATTGAAAAAATTAAATATTAAAACACTGAAAAAAATTTCGAATTTACTTTCCATTTATTTCCAAAAAACAATCACGATGACAAAGCGATCGATGACAAAATGTAAGGAAAACTTATATTAATCAATATAATTGTTGTAAATATGAAAAGCAAAAATGAATCACGACAAAGAAATGTTTTGTGAACTACGGCCTAACTGCAGCAATTAAGACTTACCACATGATACTTCAATGGATGTGGTTCAGTACCAACAAAATGATCACCTTTTCGTATATTACGATATGGTCCCCAACCACTTTTGCCACTTGGTCGTTTCAACATAAGAGTGAACCGCCTTATAAACGTGTAGTTTACCATTTAATAGATTAGAAGGTAAAAAAACCTGAAAATTAATAGGATTAACCTTCGATACTTTAATTCTAATATCATTAGGAGAAATGCGAGCTCACAGTAATTTTAAAGAATGAAATTAAAATATAATAGAAAATAGAAGTTTTGGAAAGTGAAGAATATGAGGAATGTCACACATCTCAAAACTTTCTTTTTTCATTTTATATTTGATTTACCAAAATGCCCGAAAAGAAAGAAAGCAAACATTTTGAAAACTGAATGCTGTATACAGAATTTAACGTACCAAAACCCAGTTTAACGAGTATAAACAAATACTTCATATACATATATTCTAAGTAGGAAAGTTCTTAAATATTGGATGTCGTCAACAAAGTTTGTAAATGCATCCCAAATTTCTTTTGAAAAATGTCTGTAATATTTTTTACATTTAGGAAAGAAGTCCCGATTGAATGCAATTTTTTATAAACATTATTCTTATCTTTCGTTTTTCCATAGAATGAATTGTTTCCGTATTAAACACACATGACGTTTTATCAGTTTCCGACCAAGCAGTAAGAGAAGTTTCGATTTGTTATAATTCAAGCAGAATATTTTACAAACAAACTGTAAATTTGCTAAACAGCAACAAAGCTGCTCTTTTATTAAGTAATAATGTATTTAGCTTCAAAATTTTTTTTTTTTTTTTGTTTTTTTTTTTAAAGTTTGTTATTTTACAAAATAATCCAAGAGAAATTCTAAAATCACAAAGTGCTGTCAAAAATCACTGAACCTAGATTAATATTTAAGAAAAAAATTGAACAAGCACGACACCTAGACTAATTTCCTCTATCCTAAATATATCCACGTTTAAAAGTGAAATGTGGAAGTTAGAAAAACAATTTAACAATCCAATATTCCTGACTCTGTGACACCTTTTTCAAACTTAGAGGTTTTCTACTTGGCATAAAATTGGTTGAATTTTAGCATTGAAGACTGTATTTATCTATAGGATGAAACCATTCCAACAAAGTATCTTTACTCCAAGACTTGCTGAAAATAGACAGTTGTTAGTGGTGCTACCCTAATCTACAAAAAACATAACAACTTCATCTTTCCATGTTGTTCCCATAACATTATGATTCGGATACATATATATCGAAACATTCAACTTTCTCTCTTTCGCCAGTGCTAATTACAGTCACTATAAAAATTAGGAAAAACATCGTGAGCAAATGCCTACGATTTTTTTCAACCTTTTCTTTCTCAAATGTTGAGCAAAATAAATAAGTGTTAGCAGTTTTCAACAGGACTAGCTAACTAACAATCTTGCGATAACCTACAAATCCTCAAGAGAATTCAATCACCGCTGCTTAGCAAAACCAAAAATGAAACAATGTCATTATTTCCTAATCAATAACAGAATGAAAAGTTGTTTGCACATTTTGAAATGTGACATTAAAATGGTTTGAATTGTTGGCTATTTCCTGATTCTACCTACATTGCTACTGTCACTAACTCTTCTGTAGGCACCATGTTCCAACTGAAATAGACTGATCAGCCTAGTGTTGTTTTTCATGGTGCCTATAATACAAGCCCTATCTCAAAAATGAGCTTCATTAAGATGATCAGTCAGCTAGACAGACGCATTTAGTGTTTCATTACAACAAGCGGTGGATATATCGATCTATTAAATAATAACATATAATTGAGCATCTAGATATACATGTGTGTTTTCTTAAAATAGTAAATTAATTAATTAATAATAATATAATACATAGGAAATAACAACGAATAAAAAATAAAACTACAGTAAAGAAATAAAATAATACTAATATGTATATCTGTACATAAATAAATGTTTAATTTTACATATGAAAAATATAACATCTTCTGAAGATAAACCTAAACGTGCTCTTTGGAAATAATTTAAAATAATACCTAGTTTTAATTTTGGAAAACATGATAATGCAAACGTAAGGGGACAATAACAATCATCCACCAACTTTTTAACAAACCAATACTGTAGTTTTTTTAAACAATTTTCACCCATAAATTTTTAAACAAAACTAATACTGTTTCTAATTTTGTTATTTTTCTTGAAAAATTCCAATTAATATCGCTTGAAAAAAAATATCTAATTGCAACACTGAACAAAAGATTAATCATGGATTGCAGATGGATATCGAAATATACGACCTCAACAGAAAGCGATTTATAGTGCGAGGAGTTACCGGGGTTTAAGGCATTTGAAGTAATGCATTTGTTCCGAGACAAAACATTGAACTTGACCGTCAGCTATTGCAGTACCTCTAATAGCTGGTCAAATCTATCTTGTACTTCATTTTATCATTCATTAATCAATGCTTAGTATCCTTAAGGTATTAAATTAATGTCAACAGCTCCTGCCAATGAACTCAAACGTTTCAAAACAAAACAGTCATCAATAACTAAAATTTCAGTGTTAAAATTTTACGCGGCACCAAATGAAAATTTTTGAATTCTTGCTAGTCGTACACTTTAACAAAACGGTAATCGTTTTATTAATTCTCTAATTACCATGTTTTACTGTTAATTAATACACACTTTTTCGCTTTCTGATTTTTTCTCTTCACATCAACACATTGATCAATTGAAAGATTGAATCTTATTGTTTTTCAACAATTCATCATTTGATATCACTGTTAAATTAGCAATCATACCTACATCTTCTTTGTAAAACTTTTCATTTAAACGGAAAGAGGGAAAAATATAATAAATGAGAATAATTCCATTTTTTTAAAAATCCATTTAAATCCATTTTATAATTAGCTAATCCTTGTATGTATTATTGTCCTGTTGATATGTGCTATCATACCATCATTTTTATAAATATGCATGCAATAATCATCCAATCTTAAACATATTTAATTAGTAACTGTCTCCTTCAACTTTCATAGTTTGTTCAACTTTGATCAATTAGCAGCAACAATGGATGGAAAATTCTCACACACATATATGCATAAACTTATACTCACAAACACACATACGCATAAACATACACACATACATACACACTCAACACACATACACAGGTACATACACGTATACATACATGCACATACACACACACATATATATATATATATATATAGAGAATGGAAGGATCGATGAATTCGGGGTTATTTTGAGTGTAGCAAATCGATTTTTGTCCATTTGCTGTCTTAACTGGAAGACAAAAGATGAAAGAAAGTTCTTCTCTGAATGTTAATTTCATCGTGTCCGTCTGTCCTCACCTTTCATACTTTTAAAATTCTATTTTTAAATTAATAAACTGTTTATTCTATGGACGACACTTTTCATTATTAATTTTTCTTTCCTATTCCTTTCTCTCATATTCCACTTTCTTTTTCTTTCTCTTTCTTATTCCAACGAACAAAGATTTGTTGCGAATTTTTTTTTTTCCTCCACTCTTTTACTTTTTCTTTTTTCTCTTTTTTCTGTTTAGTTTTAATAGAAATTGGATGGAAATAATTTCTATAAGATTTGATACAATTTTGAAACAATATCTCATATTTCTGAATTCTTTTCCGTCAACGTGAAAATGAAAGGACGAAATGTGATGATATTCATCAGTTTCCGTTATTTCCTTTCACATATAATCGATACCCATCAGATTTTAAAACGAAATTCCGCCGAATAAATTTGATTATGACAATTTTCCATTATTGAAAATGTTACGATATATTCCATTTCCAATGAGAAGTCTTTTCGGATTTCATAAATTCTCCCAATACTTTAATTATACTACAATCAAATTTAGAGCCAGGATCCACTGATTATATTTTAAATAATTTTATGCCATTACTGTGGAATCCGATATTTGATGATCTATTATCGATAATGAAAGTTAGGCAAGAATTTCTTCATTTTTACCAAATACTGCATGTATTTTTTATTAATAAATCTTTTCAATTATATATTTGGATAAAGAATGAAGAATATTTTAGAAATTTTAAGAAATAATGTTAATTAATTATAGATTCCTCTCTGTGTTATTTCCGTATTGTTAATGTTTATTATTATTATTATTATTACTATCATTGTTACTACTATTGTTATTATTTATTATTGTTATTGTTATTATTATTGTTAATTATTCTATTGTTGTTAATTATTTACTTCGAGGTGTGTCTAGTAGACATTTACCATTAGTGTTTCATCTCTACCAAACCTCCCAGCACTGGGATGTCACGGGGAAAAAATAGATAACATTGAAAACATTATCAATGTACTGTTAATGAACTTATTAGCATTAGTCTTTCCTATTACTGATGAAGTCTCGAGACTAAATTGGTCATTTTTTCTTTTCCAAGTCTCTTGATGGTGACTTCAGGATAAATGCTAATCATTTCCAGACAAGCAGGGGAAAGACGGGCAGAATGAAAATGATCGCTGTAGCCAATTAAAATCACGAGTATATGTTGATATGTACATACACTCCCCATGGGCTGCTCAAACCCATTTCGTTAGATTTGCCCCAAACTATTGGTAGAACAAAATCATTCTCGAGACTAACTCATAGAGGTGGAGTAGGCAGGGAAAGAGAGAGAAAGAGAGAGGGAGGGAGAGAGAAGCACATACACACATCCATACACACATATATATATATATATACATATGATATATATGTGTATATTAACATATATACGTATATATCTGATGGTTTGATTAAATTCGACCGGTTCTTGGTGTTTCGTCTTTTTGTAAAAATGAGAAATTGAGAAAACTATGTGGCTTAGATTAGGTTTTATTGATACCTTTTTATGAATAATATATTTGTAGTTTAATTGACTCACTAAATTTGTAGTTTAATTGACTCGCTAAAATCGGAATATCTGCGGAGGAGATATTCCGATTTTAGCGCCAGAAAATTGCTTTAATATATAGAGGTAAGAGATATGTTATGGTGAAATGTTGTTAAATAATCAGACTGAAAGATTTGTTTGGAATTTTAGAAAAGCTATGAAAGTTAGGAGTGAATTTCGGTT